CCTTTGGAGAGGCAAAGCCCTTTGGCCCCCCCCCCCCCCATCTATTCCTCCATTCAGCGCTGGGGGATCGCGGGGGAATCCCTACGGGGAGAGGTGACTGACAGTTACCGCTCAATGTAGGGCGATGATCGGGAAGTAAGCGATAGAGCCGACCTATGACCGTTTCATTAGGTGAGCTCTAACTATGAGGATGAGTGGAAATCACTCACCTCCTAGTTCTCATTTAAGCCTTGCAGGGTAGACTTACTGCAAGGGTACAGTTTTATTTGCCCGTAGTTCTGCCTTAACAACCATCCCTCTTCACAGGTTGACAATGCTGCTGCCCAAGGGTGACAACACTGCTCCTCCATAGATACAGTGAAGGAGTCAGCCTAGCCACCCTAAAGGTGGCCATACACTGTACAACCATCGCAAGACCTTAGTCTTGCGATGGTTGTAAAGTGATTAAAAAAACGTACGATCTGCCCATCTTGGACAGGCAGATCGCACTCTCGATCATCGCAAGCCCGCCCCCGAGGGGCGGGCTTCCGATGACCGCAATGCTGAACGGGCAGTGTGCGCGTGCGCACACCGGCCCGTTCGGCATTTGTCTTCCGAGCATCGTTCAAGCGATTTTTGGCTGGTTTTCTAGCATGCTCCTTAGACAAAAGACGTGCGACTGTACAGTAGAAACGGTCGCACGTCTTCGTTCACACTGTTCGATTCTCGTACGATCGCGGGATTTCCCGCGATTCTCGTACGAGAATCGAGCAGTGTATGGGCACCTTAAGACAGGAGGTGTGTTAATGAATGGCTCAATGAAAGGAAAAAAGGCTAAAAATGAATGCAGCCACCACATCTAAGGACCTGTAAGCTGCAATATATTATATTTTTGTTTTGGGGATTAAATACACTTTAAAGAGCCTGTGCAAAACTGAAAACAATGAACGCTGATGGGCTTGAAGCGATGACAGCATTTCTTATACATAATATAAAAGCAGATGCCATACGACTCGCTCTGGTACACCTCTCTTCCGTCCCAGCCTCTAACAGTCTGTACAGCGGCTGACGGGGACGAGCAAGGAGCGTGCACGTCTAAAGGGATGCCGAGGATGCTGATTTAGCTGTAGCCCGGGGATCCGGGGGAGGTGCCGCAGGAGCGGGCAGGGAAGAGGCAAGCAAGGGAGAGAAAAGTGTAATGGAAAGTGTCTGGGTGACCCGCGGCTGGGCTGCCACCGACATTTCTGTGACATGGAAGAGAAGAGCTCTGCTCCCCTGAACCGGAGTGTCTGCTAGTGATCAGAGCCCCGAAGAGGACAGCCAGCCGCTGACACAGGTGAGGAGAGGGACACTGCTGGACCCGGAGCACCTGGATACCCCGATGGTGTGTCCGAGGTTCCCCCACCATGTTTCACAGTCATAGCTTTTATATCTGATGATCTATGTGATCCTCCTGTGTACTCAGCAGACACGATCGTACCTTGCCCATAATTTTTTTTGTGGATGGAGAAGTTACCATGCTGTGTTGGTGGTCCTCCCTGTGTATTTATCATTGTATGATAGATCAGGCATGTTGCGCAGGCTGACACTTGCTGGTCTCCTGTCTACACTGACATTTGACAAGCCCAGGATCACTGACACAGCCTGGTCATCGATATGATCTTTATTTTTTTCCCCCTACATCAGACTGCCTCTATAACATGCTGGTGCCATCTACTTCCCACTGTCAGGATGGAGTTGTATTACCATGCCAGTGTTCTGATTGAGACTTGAGATCGATGGCAACTTCTAATGACTAAAGCTTCTGCAATGAGCCAGTTGTGTAACACTGGATAGATCTGTGTTTCCTGCTGCTGTTACTATATATATATATATATATATATATAATTAGGGGAAAGGGAGAGATCATTCTTGGTATTTGTGATCCACCTGGACAGGGTGTGGCAAGGAATCTGAAGGTACGTTATTAATAATGTGTTTGCCTAGGAAAATGGGGCTCTGCAGATTGGTAACCCCAAGCCAGGCTCTCATTTTTTGTCTCTATACCTGTATGATGCAGTGTTAGCAGATTGATAGGACCATACAAACGTATTGCTTTATTTATAGCACAAGGCCACTCTATTATTGCAGGGTGGATTCCGTAACAGTGACTGCCGTGCCAACTTTATTACATTTGTTGGACTTCCTTAGTTAAAACTCTTCAATCTGTTTATCTCACATCTGGTTTTGTGTGTGTGTGCCATTTGTGCATCTGTTTGAGCAAATGCATTTATCCATCGGAACAAATCATCCTGTGAGCAAATCATCGTAAAAACAATATCATCTTTTACTGGTCTGACTGATGATATGCAACATTTTATGGGATTTTCTGATGTACTGCACTTTGCTTTCCTTCGTTGCTTTTAGCTGTGCCTTACTTCAACATCTGATGTCTACAATCAGACAATCCTGACTAAATTGAAAAAAGGAGCTTGTGTATACGTACCCCCCCAGATCTTTAAATGTCTCCCCTATGCTCTCAATTTGCATACATTTATTTTACTCAATAATACAGAAGTGACACTTTTCCCCAATGTTACAGAGAACATTAAAACCATTCAGTTCCTGCCCCTCAAGAGGATTACTGTCTTAGTTCACCAAGCACAGACATTTTTATACGGATGGTTTAGAGCATGATGTGGCAAGTTTTGTGTCATTAGAAGCTAGTGTACCCGGGTTTTTGTGTTCTCTGATGAATCTGGGGTGCAGTGTTTATAATGTGAATGGGATCATATGGAGCAGTGTTTGAGTTTATTAGTGCTTTTGCCATGCACCGCTTTTATTCCTTATACAAGTCATTGGAAATGCAGTGTGAACGCATGGTAAACACATTTTAATGGGATCGTATGGAGCACTGTTTGATTGAGTTTATTATTGCTTTTGCCATGTACCACTGTTATTCCTTATACAAGTCATTGAAAATGCAGTGTGAACGCATGGTAAATACATCCCAAATACAAGGCATTCCTTATTGCTGCTGCTTTGGACCTTCATAAGCTTTTGAACTGAGTAAAAAGCTTTTCTTATAGCTTGTTTTTGTCACGATTTGGAATTCTGAATATGTAAGCTTTTCAGAGCTTGTGGTGTCGGGTAGATAGCATGGAAAAACTCAGCAAGCTTTATGCCAAAGCTGCTGGATTTTAGGTTCTTCGCATCAGTGGTGTTCCCAGGTTTGGTGTTCGGGACACACTGCCGCTTTTCTCACCTTAGTTTGTAAACACTAGTCTGAAGAGTATTACATTTGGTAAACGTTTACAAAAACAGGTACAAAGCATTTAAAATACATCAAACTACTTTTCTGAAACCCTTACACCACACCACGCTTTAAAGTGACACTAAACTCAGGAGTTAAATCTTAAAAATACATTCAAATACCTTAACTATAAACAATACTGGACCTTATTTCTGTATCACTCAGCTGTAGATCCTCAAATAATTTCTGAATTCATGCTGACACTGTCCTTCCTTCTGGAGGGTGGCTACTTTTGTTCCCCATGGTCCCTGTGTGTGTTGTAAAGTAGTCAGCGCTCCAAGCTTGTAGTCCACCACTTTAATAATAAAAAGATTGTAGTCCGTTACAGGAGTGAGCTTGGAGTGGTGACTACTTTACAACACACATACAGGGACCATGGAACACATATACAGGGACCATGGAGAACAAAAGTAGCCTCCCTCCAGAAGAAAAGACAGTGTCGGCATGAATTCAGAAATGATTTGAGGATCTACGGCTGAGTGATGCACAAATAAGGTACTTGAATGTGTTTTTAAGATTTAACTCTTGAGTTTAGTGTCACTTTAACTTTAGAATGTGTATATTTCAATGGTAGCTCTTGCTCAAGCTTTTCACCTCATTCACATAAGCTTTTGTGTACATGTGTGGCAAACATCAATGGATTCTTGCTGCTGGGATCGCAGAGGGGTTATGGACAGCTGCAGCTGGGAAATCTGTATCAATGATAGGCTGACAGGAGCCGCTGCTGTCTGCCGCTCTCCACATGTATCCACACATCCAGTGGTTACCTGCGGCAAGGGGCAGATGTGCGGCCTTGGATGCAGACAGATTGCGTCCATGGCCGATCATCTATTCCTGGCGGCAGGTAAGCAGATACATGTGAATAGTGGCAGACAGCTGCCACTCCTGCCATTGATTCGCACAGGCTGAGCGGCAGCAGCTCTTGGCAAGTATCTGTGATTCCAGTCGCAAGAATCCACTGATTCATGACGCCCTAATCACCAGTGAAAATGAGGCCTGAAACAAGCATTTAGCCTGTTCAGCAGCATTTAGTAAGCTCTTCAGTTTAGTATTTTTAATGTCTATGTGTACGTCAACAGATAATAAAGTAGAGTAATTTAACACCCTCCTCCCCCCCAGCCTGATTGACACAACTATGCTAATAGAATAGTTGTCTAATGTACACAACATATACTATTGGTTAAAACATGAAATCATTGAAATTGAGTTCATGGTTCTACATCGCTGTTTTGACCATTATAGGGGGCTTCCATTCTCCCTTTTCAATTTTTGCCATTTATTTTCTGGAGAATGCCAATGGGAGATAACTGGAACAAGCAAAGGTGGGTGGACCCAAAACGTCTTGGTGGATAGGAACAGGATCATGAATTATGGCAGGGAGATCTCGCTGTTTTAAATTATCCAAGACATATAGGAAACCAACGCCTGACAAGCCTACCGAGCTCCTCCCATAACCAGAATAACACTTGAATGGTCTGGTCTGATATTTTAACCTTAAACAATATCATCTTTTACATATAGTAGAAATGTGTTGACTAAATTGTGTTTTTGTGTATGACAAGAGCAGACAAATAAATATGGAATTCAGAAGCCAGTCTGTCCAATCCAGGAGCCATCAGGATTTTTAGGAACCAGCTACATTGACATCAGCTAGAGAAAACCTTGAAATTTAGATGCTAGCAGTAATATTTAAAGGAGAACTATGAGGTGAGTGCTTTTCACTCATCCTCATAGTTCTAGCCGACTTGTGACAATGAGACTGTCACGGTCGGCTCAGTAGATCGGGAAGTGAGCGAACACATACCGGCGTTCGCTCACTTCTCGATCCTGTCACGGCTGATAGCCGTGACAGGGGAGGGACTGGATTCCCCCCTCCCCGCTCCGATCCTTCAGTGCTGACTGGCGGAACGGATGGGGAAGGGGGCGGGTACAGCTGGCTCTGCCTCTAGATAGGCAGAGCCAGCTATCACTCACGCAGCTGGGCGGATCCAGACATAATTGTCGGGATCCGTTTCAGCTGTGGCGTCTCAGTATACCGGGAGCTGTAGCTCACGGTATACTGAGCTTAGGGTGACGGGAGGACGCTAGTTTGTGTCCTCCCGTTACCCTCAGGAGAACTATGGGGAAAAGCCCTAACCCCATAGTTCTCCTTTTTAAAGGAGCATTGGCTGCCTGGTTCCTAGGATTTGAACAGTCCAGTTTTACAATATACTGTTGGTTTGACAGACATTTTTAGAACATAGCAAGCCATGGATCCCACATTTTAAAATCAATAGGCTCTCTGCTATTACAAGAAGTATTTTGTTATTTTTAAGTCTATACTGTTGGTTATTTGGTGCATATGCAAAAGTATTAAAACAGACTTGGAGTAGGATACATGAGCAGGACCACAGGAGAGAAAGGGTTACTGCTCACTGTATTAATAAAGTGATATGTTTAGTACTGAGCTGTTTTTAGTTTCTCCCTTTGTAATTTACAGTCTCTTTGTGGGGTGGAAAAAGGACCAGTGAAGAAAACCTTTTCGGGGAGACCCTGGTGCATTCATCAAAGGTTTTCTCTAACCAGATTCTTCTAGCTCTGTTCCTTTCAGCTAAGCTGTCTTTTGAATTGTGTACAAACCCTCCCTTGAGAGCCATCTCCATTCTACAGTTGTCAGGACACCTCCTTATGATTCTGTGATGGTCTCTCTCTGATGACCGTCAATCACAAAAGCAGCAGCTTGTCATCAGAAATAGCCATTGCAGAACAGTATAGAAGCTCTGACAATACCACCATAGAGTATATTGTCAAACGACAAATTACATCTGTTTCTAGTGGAAACCTTTCGGTATGGAAAACATATCTGCTGCTTGCTCAGGAAACCTGTTCTGAAACAAATATGAAGGCAGAGTCAGTAATCCGGTACAAGATCAGGAAAGGTAGAAAACTATTAGATTGTATCTGTTGTGACATTAAAGGGGTTCTAAACCCTCCGTTTTTTGCCTATAACTACTGCTAGCAAGCAGTAGATATAGGCAAAAAGTTGAAAAAAAAACCCGCTTTAA